CTCTACTTAAAATTTGTAACTAAGCGGTTATTCCCATGGTTAATCTGAAAAGTCAGTTTGCCTAATAAGCTGTCTTAAGCGGTTATTGTACATGTTGGCCTTCTGAGGACCCCTCTACAGTTCAATCTCATCACCAATCCCTACTGGACCAACGGCGGACGCACGAAAAATGGAAAGATTGTGGAAATTTACCCCTACTTAAAATGTGTAAATAAGCGTTTATTGTACATGTTGGCCTTTCAAGCACCCCTCTATAGTTCCCTGCAAATATCAAGAACAACCTTATGAATTTCGTAAAAAAAAGACGTAACTACGGAGCGAGAATGGGATATTTGGGGGTAGATTAACACCAAGGTAGCAAACCGATAATACTTCACTGGGAAGAATGTAAACGGTTTTAGGGGCATGAGAGGATCGCAGTCAAAACATTCACTGAACGGATTTCTGATTAGTAAGTAGATCCCTTTCGAACAAACACGCAGAGACAAGGTTCATACCGTTCTGCCGAAAGTATAGGCGAGGTTCACTTTTATACGATGGCCAACAAACATACTGTTGGCCTACTTATAGACAGTTATTGGTCCACTTCAAGGTCATTGGGGTGAAGTGAAAAGAGATAAGATAACAAGACACAGTCTTGAAGCACTCCGCAGAGTAGATTTTTGTTTAGCAGACTAAACATACTGAGCACGGAAGAAAAAGTAGTTGGAAATTCAAGAAACAATCCAACCAGGGGAGCCACACTGAGATGTTTAACTGGGGGAGGAGACACGGGCCAGTCTTGAATGCCGAGGCGTAATCAACAAATGCACACGCATACGCATGAAAAGCCGTCTTAGAGCAGAGACAACCACAAGAACAACCGCATCCAAACTACTAAGCTGGCCTTTATATGCTAATTATAAGGGCTCAGAGAATGGCGATAGAAGAGTTCTTCGAGTTATATATATCATACAAGTTAGGTCACCCTCTAACAATGTCTAGATATTTTAAGGACCTAAGTGCGAAATCATATGCTTTACACCGCGATCCTTCCTTTTTGGGACACTTTACAGGCCTAGCTGGCGGGCTTTTAGGGGCTTTGGACTTTCTGTTGAACATACTTTGTCCTTTGCTTGTTGCGGTTCCTTAAAGGAAGCAGCATGTGACAGTTTTATTCCTGCTACTACGACTCAAAATCGTGACATCGAAGTCGGAGTCCATACAACGAACTACTTTTAATACCATACTTTCTCGCCGCAAGGATACTCTTGATTCCGTGCATGGTT